GGTTATTAGGAAAGGGATGGAAAACCACACAGCCAATATTATAGTGTCCCTGTATAGATCTATAGTGCAGCTTCATTTGGACTACTCTGTGCCGTTCTTGTCTCCATTTCTCAAAAAGGATATTGCAGAGCTGGAAGTACAGGAGAGGGTAACCAAATGATTAAGAGTCTGGTGCTTCTCTGTTTAAAGAAAAGATAACTGGGGTGGGGGACATGATAAGGGTTTATAAAATGATGCATGGCTTAGAGAAAGTGGACAGAAATGATGTTTTCTCCTTCTCCCTAAATACTGGAACTTAGAGGTACCCGATGAAGTTGATGGTCAGTAGATTCACAACAGAGAAAAGGAAATGCTACTTTACTCGATGAGTTAGTTAAATATGGAATTCACTGCCAGAGGGGGTAGTGATGGCCACAGGCATAGATGGCTTTAAAAGGAGATTTGAAAGTTTATGGAGGATAGGTCCATCAGTGGCTACTAGCCGTGGTGACTAAAGGGAACTTCTGTGTTCAGAGGCAATAAAACTTTGAATCCCAGAGCCAGGAAGCAACATCAGGGGAAGGCCTTGGCCTTTATGCCCTATTGTTGGCCCTCCATTGGAACCACTTGGCCACTGTATGAGACAGGACTGGCTCTTATGTTCTTCTTCTTCTAGTTGCAGCTGACATATGGAGACCCTGTAGGGTTTTCAAGGCAAGAGACATTCAGAGGTGGTTTGCCATTGCCTTTCTCTGTATAGCAACCCTGGAATTCCCTGGTGGTCTTCCCTCCATATATGAACCAGGGCCAACTCTGCTTAGCTTCCAAGTTCTGATGAGATTTGGCTAGCCTGAGCTATCCCTTAAGCCCTATTTAATAAACCTGAGTGGGATTCTGAGTAGACCTGTTTAAGATTGCACGGTTATTTCCCCAAAATCTGCATAATCCTTTCATAAAACCCAACTGAATGAATGGCCATCACCCATAGAAGTGAATCCTACAAGTTTAATTATGTGTTCCTTAAATTAATTTGGTAACACAGAGTTATACTACAGCTCTGTTTCATGTTGCCGAATAAAATGGAATGAGTTCCAAATTTGAATTTGACAGCTGCAAATCAGCTGCGAAGTGCCAGTCTCCTGTTTTGTTTTTCCCCTGGAAGTCTCTTTCTGTATGCTTATTGAGTAAGTAACAGGTTCTTTGTATGCTAATTGAAGCTGCAATTTCTGCTGCAAAAAATAATGTAATCAAGTTCCATTTGTGCCCATTTTTTCCCCTTCCATAGTCTCACTTTGATTGCTTTAGTCACCAGGCATATTTTTGCATGGAAGAGGATTTCAGAGAAGCAGCTTATTACTTGACAGGAGTGAGAGATTCTGGAGTTTTCAGTCTTCACTTTTGAGGGATGCCTGCTGGTGGGCTGTTGCTGAACTCCAGCGTTCTGCCAAGTGCTGAAGGTTGCTAAGATCTCCTGCAGGCCTTTTGGCGCCCATTGCTGAAAAGCAGGTGGTCTGTAGCGAGGGCTCCCTTTGGGGTTTCACACTCTGTGCACAACATGCAGACGTGAAAGACAACTGTCAGTTCCTTCCATTCCTGGTTGTCTCTCCTTTAACAAAAGAAGAAGGGAAGGGGGGAGATGGGGCACAGATGGATGTGTTGGAAACCTGTCAATATATTTATGAAGGGCATACTACAACACAATCCCAGTTTATTTGTGGAACGATCAAATGAGGTAAGCATTAATAACTGTTATTGGAAGGGATGGAAAGCATACATTTTGGGCCCCAATGTTATAAAAAAGAGCTCCCTGCAATGGGGACATGCAGCAGGCTGATTAGCACTAGGCAGAGTGGTCTCAACACTGGTGGTAGGAGAGCCAAAGGAGTCTACAAAGTTCTGTTTTGTGTTTGTGAGTTAAGTGCTGTCAAGTTGCTTCTGACTTATGGCAACCCTACGAATTAACGTCCTCCAAAACATCATATGGTTAACAGCCTTGCTCAGGTCTTGCAAACTGAGGGCCGTGGCTTCCTTTATAGAGTAAATCCATCTCATGTTGGGTCTTCCTTTTTGTTATTGTAGGATACTTTTACATATGTGGGAAAAGAGTGTTTTTTCAACTGTTGTTTAGTGTCATGGAGGGAAGTCTGAAATGTAATGTCAGTAGAACATAGGTTGAGTCCAGTGGCACCTTTAAGACCAACCAAGTTTTATTTAAGGCATGGATCTATGTAATGTCAGTGTTTGCTATTCTGTTACCTCAATCTGGCTGCTTCTTTCTGTTGTAGAATATCTTGGTTCCCCATTCCCATGCAGAAGCCAGTGCAGAGGTTAGGGACACTGTTCCATGCCAAGCTTATGTTACTACGGTAGTTTAATCATGGACTTTGCATTGTGGCTTTATTGTTCGTGTGTTGATGTTTTGTACTTTTAGTGGTTTTTTTTGTTTTTACATCGTGGATTGTAAAGTTACTTTTCTGTTTTATAAGAAATGGGGGCTACAAATGATCTTAATACATAATGATAGTAAGTACATAATGATAGTAAGTACAACAATGCATGGGGGAAAACCTATTAATCAATACAACCAATTAAGACAGTAAAAGTATACTGGACTGGAGGAAGGGGGGACAACACCATGTCAACCAAATGCCTGTTTTGTGTTTGTGTATTGTGTAAAACTGTATTAAACTGGGAGCTGAAGAGGAAAAGATCAGGTGCCAGGTGGATAACTGGAGCAGAATATGCCAGAAATGGGGACACAGTACAGAAAAGGTACACAAAGAAAAGTCTTGGCAAATGACTTATCTCAGGCAGTCACATATGAGAGGCACACTACAGTTCATTTTGTTTTCCGTATTGCTAGGCATGACATCTACCAGTGTCACGTGGAAGAAAGAGAAGCTTGGAATGACCTTGTTTTTGGACTGTCCTGGCTTTTATGTTTAGATATGTTTCCCTCCTCCGCATTTTTATCAACTTGTGTTTACTTGTGCCGGATGGGGTCGAATTGATTCTTACAGAGTAGGTCAAGAACTTGGCAGGGGGGAGTGTTCATGGACCCAGCGTTTGTTTATGTTTTGAAAAGCAGGTTAGGACAGTGCCTTCTATCATCTACATCTGTCTCTCCATCCCTCATCCTTCTCAGGCTCAGCTGATGTGGCTGTGCTGATCCATGCTTTTGTCAACTTGTGGTTGGGCAGCTGTAATACTCACTGTGTTGGACTTCACTTGAAGACTACCAGGAAACTGCAGCTGGTCCAGAATGTGGCTAGCTGATGGGAGCATGTCATGCCAATCTTAAAACAGCTACAGTGGCTGCCATTAGGATATAGATATTTTAACAAATATAAGTATAGGCATAACATAGTTTTGTCAGAATCCTGCAAAGCTGTGGAAATGTCTCAGGAGCCTGGAGCCTTGCAGAGCAGCTGCTTCCTGTGATACCTTAGTGAGCTGCAGAAATTTTAGGTGTTCATGCAGAAGTGAAATGTGTAACTTAAAAAATAAAATTGGTCTCTGAGATCCCATTTATAATTTCTGATACCTCCAAATATTTTAAAGGGGTTGTAATGGTATGCAAGACTGATTTGTATGTTGAAGTGAATGTTCAAAATCACTGCAAGGTTGTCAGCATGCGTATGTGTATATCAGTGTTTGCCAAATAGGCACACAAATGCATATACTGTGAAAACTGGAGAGTGAATGTGAGACAAAGATGCAGAGATCTCATACAGCACAAGGGCTAAAAGAATGAACTGTGAAGCAGGAACTTCCTTGTTCAGATCTCACCTCTGCTTATGTATTTATCAAATGGCCTATAGGTCATTTTTATAAACTGATTTTTCTTGTTTGTTTGGCGTGTTTTGTTTTTATCGTTTTAGTTGTAAGTCACCTGGAGCAAGTTCTGGAGAAGCCGCATATAAATTCTTTAAATAAAATAATACAGGCAAGAGTATTAGCCTTCCTTAAAAAGTTGTTACAGATATTATGGAGAGAACGCACGTGGATTGCTTTGAACTCTGTGAAGCATCATACTGTAGTCACCTGTAGTCACCTTCATCATCCTCACCAGATTTTCCTGTCTTTTCCCTAGTTGACTTTGGAGTGTTGTAAACAAACTCAATACATTGCAGGGAAAATCTGTGAATGACTTTTACTGCAGAATAACAACCAAGGGTGCCCTTGGTTTGAATGGCACTGCCTCAATTTTTATTTATTTATTTATTGGGATTTTTACCCCGCCCTCCCCGCGAACGGGCTCAGGGCGGCTTACAAGGGGCAAAGCCCATATAAAACAACTTACCAACCCCGGCTGATATTTGCTCTACTAGTGAAACTGTACAGGTTTCCTTATATTGCCTGTGTGTTTCTCCCTGTGGGGGAAATAACAGTTCAGGGGTTAGGAAAACAGTTTGGGCAGAAAATTGAATCCCCTTTCTCCCACATGACAGCCCCCATCTGAATCTGGTCTCCCCAAAATGTTATATAGTAATTGAAAATGTGCCACAGATCTTCCAGCATATCCTTTACTTCAGGGGTGTCAAACATGCGGCCCGGGGGCTGGATCAGGCCCCCGAAGGGCTTCCATCAGGCCTGCAGTGGAGCTGGCCATCTCCTGCTTCCAGTTCTGCTGCTGCATCATAGCTTGCTTTGCGAAACTTTCTTAATCACTCAGCCATTTCATGTTTTAACCTGGGTCCTAGACTCAGAACTCTGAGCATGAGATTTTTGTGGTGAAAGTCAATAAATCAAAAGTAGGTTTGCAGCTTACAGAGCTAATGTTTTTTATTTTAAGTTAAAAAACCTTTGTGTTTGTGTCCTTTATAAAGTTTATATCTCCGCTGCCTGGCATTTCATTTTATGACACACATGGCCTGGCCCAACAAGGTCTCCTTTATGTCAGATCCGGCCCTCATAACAAATGAGTTCGACACCCCTGCTTTACTTGTATCTTCAATTTTAGAGGGTTGTTAATGAATACATTTAATTTTAAAAATGCTTTCTCTGTCTTTCTGTTTCAGTTGCTACTGAGAAGCGGGTACCAGTAATGCCAGGGTCCCCTGTGGAAGTAAAGATACAGTCACGATCTTCTCCATCCAGCATGCCGCCACTGCCCCCTGTCAACTCTGGTGGTCCCCGGCCCGTCTCATTTACCCCTGCAGCATGTAAGAGCATGAGATATTTGGAGTGGACCTATTGTGTTTAAATATGGCTGCTTTAGTTTTATTTAGCCCCCAGTTTTACTTTGATATGCCAGACAGAAACAGAATTTTGAAGACGTCCTATCATTCTGATTCAGACAAGGTAGAAGTGAAGAGCAGCACACTGGCCCAAGCTAGAAGGAGTAACTCTACATAAGGTTGCACTGATTTTTCATGGACTTAGTAGGTTGGGAAGAGCTTCCTGAAAAGTAGATGACAGTCTGTGTTTTTTTTTAATTAGTCCATTTTCATAGAGTAGATATTTACCTCAGGCGATGCGCGGCTCCTAAAGCTTCCAGGCGGGAGGTAGGTGGGAGGGGAGGAAAATGGTAGAAGGACATGTAACCAGACCAGCTGAGAACACGTGTATTGCCTTAGCTGCAGACTAAGGTAAAGCGAGGCAGGGGTTTTAGTACAGAAAGCTGGATTTGAGAGGAGAAGCAGACATATAGGGGTCGTAGGTAAAGGGGAGGATGGCGTGGCCGCTCTGTGTTCTATGTTTTAAAGCTGCTTGCGAGCGGGAGGGGGTGGGCCCCAGTGGATTACCAGGTGGCCCTACCCCACAGGTCAGGGATTGGCTACAGGGTCAATTTTCCAATCTATTGATTAACTTTAACCGTTGGTACCTGGGCGGGGGCAGGAGGTACGTGCAGGGAGACCGGTAGCGCTGACTCATCATTAGCCATGTGGAATGCAAGTCCATTGTGGTCTGGCGGAGGGGGAACTCTGAAATAAGCCTCTCATCTGGAGACATGCTGTCGGGGCTAACTAATGAGTTTTCTGTGTTTGCTGTAAACCTTGTGTTTGCATACACATGATGAGCTGAAGACTCGGGGGGCCTTCTGGAACAATGTTGACTCAGTAGATTATCTACCTCAGTTGGCATCTTCCTTGGGTGCCCTCAGGATGAACTCCTTATTTCACAGTCTCTTTTTATTAGCCCTTTGCATCAAGCTTTATTCCATATAACATAGTCCAGAAATAGCCCAATATGAACGTCTGGGCTAACAAGATCTCCTCCAGGCATGTACCCTTTTGTTGCTCGGTAAATTAAGGCTTCATTCAGATTTCATGATAACCCACATAACACATGTCTGAGTGCAAATGTTCAAATGAACTCTGGATTTCATAGTAAGATTTCTGGCTGGTTTAGCTATAGATTTTATTAACGGTGGTGTTTTGTGGCATTTGACTTCACTGACCCCAGTTTGTTGAATTACACAAATTCTCACAGTCATCTGTTCTCAAAGAAAGCAGTGTTAGGGAGAACATCTTCCCTGGGTGTCTATGGGAGAGAGGAAAAATGTAGATGGACCAGCACTTATGAATGAACTGGGATTCGATACTTTTGTGGCATAGACTAATTTGTGTGCATTTTCATAAGACCCGGTTTACTGCAGGATCTCATTGTAGTTTGTGTGCCTGGACTTTTCCTCCTAATGAAATTTTAGTTGTCTTTGAGGTAAAAATAACTTTATTTGATTGATAGAGTGCCCTCCCCGTGTGCAGGCTCAGGGTTAATGCCATTAAAACGACCATTAAAATGACAACTTAAAACAATAAAACCATAAAATACCGTGCAAACAAGTTAGTTCCAATGTCAATCAGATCATTTAAAATTCAGCAGTACCCCAATATTGGGATCCAGGCCACTGGAGGAGAGATAGCCAGGAGGGAAGAAGGACGTCCGCCGCCTCAACCAAAGGCCTGATGGAAGAGCTCTGTCTTGCAGGCCCTGCGGAACTGTAGTAGACCCCACAGGGCCCTGATCTCATATGGAAGCTCATTCCACCAGGTGGAGGTCCTGGCCCTGGTCAAGGTTAGTAAGGCATCCCTGGGGCCAGGGACTGCTAGAAGAAGGCAGGGAAGAAGTCACACCTTCTCAGTAACTGCATGGGATTCTCTTAGAAAAGCTTGCCCCGTACACACCACACATGTGCTTCCTTTGGAAGACTGAGCAGTGTGACACAGACATTGTTACCAGACAATTGCTAATGGCTGTAATAACATCTAGAAGAAACCCAGCACCAGAGTGCAATTTGACCAAATTCCTTACCACTATAATCATGTATATGGAGCCTAGAAGAAAGCCTGAATTTATTTTAGAATTTTTAATGGCTGAATTTCTCAACAACCTTGAGCTCTTGAGTTGCTTGTCAGTAAAAAAACAATAGCCGATACTCTGATGTATTTTGTGTACTGTTAAGCATTATTTTTGAAAAGTTTCCAGCAAGATTCCAGGATTCTGTTCTCAACGTTAGTGTCTTTGTTTGAGAGCATGTTGTAGTAAAGTCTAAATATACAATGTGTGTTTCTTCATTGATTTCCGTTTTCCCTGGTTCTGTAGTACCAAATGGGATGAACCATTCTCCACCTACACTGAATGGAGCAAAATCACCACCTCAAAGGTTCAGCAACGGGCCGTCCTCATCTTCTTCCTCTTCGTTGACCAATCAGCAGCTCCCAGCTACCTGTGGGGCTCGTCAGCTCAGCAAACTGAAGAGGTTTCTTACAACCCTCCAACAGTTTGGCAATGACATTTCACCAGAGATTGGGGAGAAAGTCCGGACACTTGTTTTAGCATTAGTGGTAAGCTTTTATTTTTATTTGGCAGTATTTTTGCACGTGTGTGTGTGTGTGTGTGTGTATGTGTGTGTGCCCATGCCTGAAAGTCACGGTGACCTCTGGCGACTCCTACTGGGGCATGGAGGACGTTCAGAGAAGTGGCTTGATAGCCTGCATCTGGCCTCCTTGCCCTGATATTCTTTGGAGGTTTCCCATCCAAATACTTGCCAGGGTCAGCCCTGCTTAGCTTCCGAGATCTGATGAGATTGGGCTTGCCTGGGCTATCCAGCACAGGGCTCATTAGTGGTAAGCTTTTATTTCTCCTTTCCCCCTCTGCATTTAGAGGTTCCTGGGTCTATGGCTTTTGTTCTTATGGCAATGCTTGGCCAGCAAAATGGTGGTAATTTGGTGATGTGTACCCTTCACAGAATTTTATTTGAACTCTTATGGAGGATACACAGCACCAAATTAAAACCATTTTTTTCAAGAATGTGATGTGGTGTGCTGGGAAGTATTGGACTATGGCTGGGGCACCCAGGTTTGAATCCCCCCTGTTCCATGAAGGCCACTGTTTGACCTTGGGCTAGTCATTCTCTCTCAGCCTAACCTACGCTCAAGGTTGTTTTGAGCATAAAATGGGAGAAGGGGACCGTGTATTTCATTCTAGGCTCCTTGGTGGAATGGCGGGAAAAAATTCTTTATGAAAAAAAATGTGCTAGTGGAAAAACATCCACCTGTTATGGTAAATATAAAGCCAGCTTCCAAAACAAGTTGAATTGAGGAGGGAAAGGCTAGTGGAATTTTAATTGAACTGGAAAGAAAATCTGGATTAATGTCCTTTTCTCTTTACAGAATTCCAGGGTAACAATAGAGGATTTTCACTGCAAGCTTCAGGAGGCCACTAATTTTCCTCTCCGTCCATTTGTGATTCCATTCTTGGAGGTGATTGGTTAATTTTCTAAGTCATACCTTTGAGACAGTAGTGAGAAAAAAAATTGAGTGGCACACTAGCTAAGTACTACAGGATCTCCCAAACTATAAAAGCATTGTTATATATTACATTCAGATCATCTAGCAACCTAACTTGTTGAGGCAGTTCTCTTCAAATCCAAAGTCTGAAAGTACTGCAGTGGGCTTAATGCCATCTACTATATTCGTGGATCTCCCCCATCTTTCTCTTTTTTGAAGGGGGGATCCTCACAGAGAAGACATGCTCTTTCTTTCTTTTGAACAGAATCTGATAAGAGAAAAGGAAGCCCTCATGTTTCTGTAAAACTCGTAGAATTCTATGCTTATTCTCAACATGGTGCTCTCTGTTGATGCTTAAATCCAGAGTTTGGAGACATGGACAGACAAGACAAAGCTTTCTGGAAACCTGAGAAAATCCCCAGGTTTGCAGGAAGATTCTCAAATCTTAAAAAAAGAAAGAAAGAAAGATTGGGGGGGGGGGGTTTAAGTAATTTAGAGAATAATTTGTTTTTAAAAAAGAGACTCTGAATTGTAGAAAATACCAAACTTTCAGATTAGTAGATTTTGGCTTGAGCTCTGTTTGATCTAAAATTTACACTGTCTGATCTAAGATCTACAGTTGGGATATTGTAATAGGAGGGTTCTGGAAATGTGGGGATAGATAATCCTTGCATGCATAGTCCAGAGTGGTTATCCAAAGGAAGGGACAAGAAACTTCCTTTCCCCACCCTCGGTGTTCTTTCTCCTTTTTAATAAACCATGCTGATATCTGCTGTTTGCCTCCTGTATCCCAGCTGGTGTAACAGAAGCAGCTGCCCAGTTTCTATTGATCAGTATTGCTAGGCGGTCAGTGAAACAACCCATTTGTTTGCTCTGCACTGACTCCTGCAGGGACCTTGAATCATGCCATTAGTGGGGCCAGTTTTGTAGCTAGACATTTCTGTATGCCACAAATGTGTCTTGCCTAGAGATGTAAAATTTCCGGAAATTTTGAAGCTCGGAAAATCGTTTTTTTTCCGTTTTTTTTCCCAGGGGAAAACGGAAATTTTCGGAAAAATTGAAAAAAATGCTACATTAGCATTTCGTTTGTCTTTTTTAGCTTGAAAGTCATTCTGTTACTTTAGGAACATAAAATATGACTATGGACATTTTGACTTGGCATGAAGTTATCACAACTAGCATATTAAAAATATAGTGTATCCAAACAATTATTACAGAATACCCACCCACATGCAAAAACAAAACTGATTCTTCTGACAATCGCACCTCCTAGAGGAAGAAATGCATCTTGTTCTTGCATTGGAGAGTTCAGTTTGTAACCTAGGACTTGCTTGTCCTCAGTGCACAGAAATTACATCAATCTGATACCATATATATATATTTTAGAAATGATTTGGAAAATATTTGAACACCTGGTCTTAAAATATTTTATTCATCATGTTTCATAATCAATTTTTTTTCTTTTCTTTTCTTTTTTCAATTTTTCCAATTTTTCGGAAAAAAACAAAAAGGCTTCAGGAAAAAAATTTCCGAATTTTTCCGTTTTTTTTCCTGGGCCTTCACATCTCTAGTCTTGTCCTTTTCCTCTGTGAAGTGAAACAGAAAGGGAAGCCAAGCTGAGCTGGCAGTCTTTTAGGAACTGACAAGATTGGACATTAAGTCTAGTCCCCCTATTGATATCTCCCATTTGCAGAGATGGAAGAGATGAGCTTGGGGTCACACAGACACACACACAGACACACACACGTTCATACCATAGCTGTGGCCCAGTTGGGACAACTGTGGGTTCTGCCGGCCCATTGAGCTTGATTTTTGTTTTAGTTGATTCCTGTGGGGCAGCAGGGCTGTTACAACACTAGAGCCACTGTTTTAACAACAGCCAGTCGGTGGCATAGGGCCTCTGCGGTTTCCCGGTCTAAATGGCAGCTTGAACTTTGTTTTGCAGGCTAACCTTCCGCTTCTGCAGAGAGAGCTGCTGCATTGTGCTCGGGCCGCCAAACAAACCCCCTCCCAATATCTGGCCCAGCACGAGCATGTCTTGCTGAACACGAACACGGCTTCCCCAGCTGATTCATCAGAGCTGCTGATGGAAGTGAATGGCAATGGGAAGAGGCACAGTCCAGACAGGTAACAGGAGCTGTTTCTGAAACCCAGAAATCCGTGTCGGTCTGCGTTCCTCATGCAAGAAAGTTCTTCCACCTCCTGCCCTCGGAAATGTATTTATTTAATTTATCCCTTTATTTAATTCACTCATACCCTGCACTCCTCCCCAATGGAGACCCAAAGCAGCTTACATCGTTCTCCTTTCCTCCATTTTATTCTCACAACAACTTTGTGAGGTGGGTTAGGCTGAGATAGTGTGACTGGCCCAAGGTCACCCAGCAAGCTTCCCATGGCACGAGTGGAGATTCGAACCTGGGCCTTCCAGACGCTAGTACAACACTCTTAACCACTACGCCACACTGGCTCCTGATATGGGTCCTCCATGCCTTTATTGGGAAACTAAATCATTTACTTGTGTGACGTGCTCTGTATACTTGGACATGGGCATGACTGAATGTCACTATTCCATGTCATTACTTCCGGTGATCAGTTTTGCTGGGCTTTCTGCCTCACCTGCCTTCCCGTTTAACATCAAGGTTTCTAAAATTAATTTCAAAATGGAAGTATCCTGGTTAGCCACAGTTTTTGGTTTGACACGCTCTCACCCCAAATCTCCCCAAATGTGTGTGCTGGTTTTAAATCACAAGATAAAAAAAGGAGTATTAATGTAGTTGTACAGTGACATCCAGATTCCTTTGGGATCAGTGTCTTAATTGAAGCCCATCTACAATTTGCTTGTTTTTCTCTCCCTGTTCTTGTGCCCCCCCCCCCCCCCCATGTTCTGTTATATTGGTTATTTTAGACCGTATACTGCCTTAAATGTAACAGCAGAAAGGCAGTATAGAAATTATCAAATAAATAAATTAAAATATCTGTACAGGAGATGAACACCTTAAAAACTGCTATGAATTGCACACGGACAGCATTCTGAAATCAAAAATGGAAGACTGGCAGATTGCTGGCTCAGGTTGGGGGAGAAATTTGGATGCGAAAATATTAGTAAGCATCCCTTCTCTGTCATGTAAAATATCTTCAAACACACAAAGACTGTATCATTCTCCAGTACACAGAGGGTTCTTTAAACTGTTTTAAATATGTATAAGCAGAGTCTCAGTAAGAGTGGCTTGAAATGTCTGTTCTGTCTAAAATTCCAAGCTTAACTGTTCCATTACTTGAGTGGTTAAAGGCATCAAGAGTCTGTTTAGGAAAGAAAATGCTCGTGGCCAGGATGGCTTATACTTTAGGGGTACCAAAAAAAGACATCATGCTGCCTAAATGCATGAATTTGTTTTCTTCGTCTCTTTTATTTTTTTGCTGTTGGAGTTACAAGTAGCTTACATTTCAGTCGTTAAGGGGTTAACTGATACAGGTGTTAGTAAACAGGACTTTTTATCTTTTTAGTAAAGTAACTTTTTAAATCTAACACATGGAGTATGCCTCTTACTTTGCCCCAGCCCTATTTTAAAGGCAATAACCCAACAGTTGTTCAATCTTTTTTCAGTGAATAGCTTTTTTTTCTGCCTGCTCTTTGTAAAATCTGTGCTTTTCTCAGACTGGGAACACTAAGGCCAGAACTACAACCAAACAGCATCTGTGAGTTCCCCATGGGAACTCAATTCGAACGCCCTGCAGGAGCCTCATTCAGATTGGAACCACAGCGCAGATTTGGGGGGGGGGGCTTCTGCCATTTTCCAACCATAAAATGGGAGGGCTGCACACGTACTGAATGCTTGCACATGCAGCCTCACAATGGGACATCCCCCCAGGGCTGTTTCAGATCAGTAAAATGGTGGCAGGCTGGAGCCCCTCCTCTCCCTGTGCTGCAGTCCTGATCTGAATTGGGCCTATGGCAGCTGCTGTATGGCTACAAGTCCTCATTGGAATCAGGTAGTTTGGCCCTCACTTAGTCAGATTCAGATTCAGAAACCTTTAATGGCATAAAATGTAATAAAATGCAGAATAATCTTACATAAATAAAATAGGAATAGTACAGTCCAGATGGGGCAATAAAACAGTGCCAGGAATAAGAACACAGAAGAGCAAAATTAATCAAGCATTCTCTGCCTTGGCCTTAGAAAACCTCACTTAGTCACCTTTCTGTCTCTGCATTCTTTGTGCTAATGGAGACTCTCCTTTCTTGCCTTGCTGACAGGAGAGAAGAAAGCAGCTTTGAGAGAGACCCACTCCCCTCGGAGCCTCCTGCCAAGAGGGTGTGCACCATTAGCCCAGCTCCCCGGCATAGCCCGGCACTCATGCTGCCCGTCATCAATCCAGCGGGACAGTTCCACCCTACTCCACCCCCGCTCCAGCATTACACCTTGGAAGACATCGCAACCTCCCACTTGTACAGAGACCCTGGCAAGATGTTGGAGCACAGGGAACTGCGAGACAGGCATAGTGCTGGTAAGGAGGCCACTGTCTGGTCTCCCCCACTCGTTTCTCTTGGGCCCGGTGGGGGTGCATTCCAGTGAGTTGCCTTAGTCATAAAAAAGCCCCAAACTATCTTGTCCCTTGTGAATGAAGGCTGAAAACATGGAGGGTGCAAAATACTGCATTTGGCGCTCACAAACAAGGGCATGTGCAAACCTCCGCAGCCCTCTTCTCGTACTTTGGATGTCCCAGTATATGTGGCTTTTTGTCTTCTTTGTATGGCACCAAACTGTCAGTAGACCTGACACAGCCATTTTCTTGCCTTGTGTGATAGGGTTAAATGGAGGCTATCAGGATGAGCTCGTGGACCATCGCTTAACAGAGAGAGAATGGGCTGATGAATGGAAGCATCTTGACCATGTAAGGAACTTGAATGCACAGCCTCCGGCTCCTCTTAACATGGGCTGCACAGTGAGTTCTGTGAGATGAACATTGATAACATGACAGTAAAATAGACCTGTGTGTAATCCTGTTTTCATTTAGCATGAAGGGGCCGCATTCTGTGTATGCAGAAGGCCTCATCTTCCACTAGGGCTAGGAAAAAGCGCTTTTTTTCAAAATCTGGTGGAACCTGTAACAGTCATAGCAGGCAGTACTGGGCTACCTGGACTGGTTCACTGTTTGCTGTTTCACAAGTCTCTCTCCCTCCACTGAAAATACCTTCTACATATGGCAGAACTGTCACGTTGAAGCGGATTTTTAAAGCATGTGGCGTGGTAGCCCCAGGGCTCAGCAAAGGATCATACCAGGCAAAAGGGCTTCTGTCAGATTCACTATTGAGACTGCATTTCTCCTCCCAGCAGAGACTCTAGGATTTGGCGTGAGTTGCAGAGGAAGTGAGGCCCATGGGATGTGATGGGCAAAGCTTTTGCCTAGTAATCTGTTTGAAAATGTCTTGCTACTGAACGGCTATAATGTTCAGTATAATAAAGCTGCAAGCACAAACAGAACCTCACAGTTCCCCAGCGTTGTATGATCCCTTTCTAATTCATTGGTAAAACCTTTATGTTTTCCCAGTTCAGCAAAGGCAGTTGAATGTAGAAACAGGAATCCCTATTATAGGATGAAACAGTACCAACAAATATTACAAGGTGTTTGTTTATAAATGTCTATACTGACTTAACCTGCACTTTATTTTATTTGCTGTGCTGACGTTTAAAGTGGTCTATTTATGTTCACTATTAGACGGCAGTGTCTTTCTTTGCTGCCTGTACTAATGCAACTATGTAAGACTAATGCCTAGAATTGCTATACTACAAAAGTTGAGAAGGGCTAATAGAATTTTCTGTACAGTGTTCCTTTCTGTAAGGAAAAGTTGAGGCCCTTTGATCATTGTCATGAAAGATGTACTTTGAAAACGTAGAAAGTATCCTTTATTTAGTTGGGTTTTTATATTCTCTGCCTTGCATGGACAGACAGCTGAACGAATGCACTCTTAGTTTTGGTATTATATCCTGATCTGGAACTCATTGCCTTGTAATGTCCCATCAAGTATTCCAAAAAAAATACTTCCACATAATAGTTTCATGCGGAGCAAGCCAAACATGGAAATCAGTTAGATATGGATCCACTTCATACATGAGTTTGTTACACACAGATAATTGTGTAAGAAAACGGATTTGGAGTACTTGTTTTGTTGCAGATCCCATCCACTGATTGTGAATCTTGTCTGAATTTATACTGAAACATGCTGTAAAAGCCTAACTATGTGATCAGTCAAATCGTGCACTGTAGCTTCTCCTGAACACTGTTGCACATTTTAACGTATCCATACTCCCCCCCCCCAAAAAAAAAATCCTTACACAAAGTAAGCTAGCATAAGGAGAAGAGTCTAGTATGAGGTGTACTTTTATTGAGCTGAAAGTGTGTTTTACTTGGAGTTTATTTACAGAGCTGCAAGAAGAAACACAATTCCTGGCTCAATCTGAAAATGTCATTCTAGTCAGGTGAGATAAGTTGGTTTAAATACCTGGTGCTGTAGAACTGTTGAAGTGTTAAGCAGACGTGGATGCTATATGGGAGGGCTATGGAAGCCCCATATAAGAGATGGAAGCCCCATATAAGAGCAGGTTATTAGTTTAAAGTAATGTATTTCTCAAAGGCATTGAACTGCATCATGGAAATGGTGGAGAAGACCAGACGCTCCATGGCTGTCCTCCGACGCTGCCAAGAGGCCGACAGGGAAGAGCTGAACTATTGGAAGAGGCGATGTAGTGAAACAACGGAGCCACGGAAAGGAGGGAGCGACTTAATCATGAGACAGCACAGCCCAGGAAGCTCTGATTCGGTCAGCAGTGGTAAGTTTTAGAACCTGAGCTATTCACTCTATTACACTGTGTTATAAAGAGGAAGCAAACACCAGGTTTTCTCACAAGACCAAAGCTTTACACAGAACACACAAAGGGATTAACTGCTACTTGTAAGTTTGCTATAAAAATAAGGCTGTGTGAAATCAGGCAGAATGTTTCCTTTCCCCATTAATATGTCTGTTATAAATGAGAACAGCTGTTGTTCAGGTGGAACTTCACACACATATAGCAGATACATGAAAACTATAAGGGTTTTTTTGTGGCATGGAAATGGAGCATGCAGAATTGTTCAAGAGGAAAATAAGGTGCTTGCAAGGTATTTATATTCGTTCAGATAGGGTCATACATATACAGGCCATTTCAAATTGTCTCCTTTTCACTAGAATTGATAACTATCCATTCATCGTCGTGTCTTCAGTGCAATCCCACATGGGACTACATATGCACAGGCTGCAGAGAATAGATTTGCAAGCTTTCAGCTTTTTCTAGAACTAGGAGCACTCCCTCTCCCCTCTGACAGAGCCAAGAGCAGGAATTTTCCCACCCAAATGGTCACATGATGGAGGTGGGGAGAGCACTGCTCCCTCAGTTTTTTCTTCGCTGCTGTGGAGTAAGGACACAGGCCTTCCAGCCATGAGTTTTCATTGGGTTTCTTCTTCCCTTTGTTCTTTGTGACTGGAAGATAGCTTTATTTTTAAAAATGCTACCAGTGCAAATTAAAGATGGCTCAAAACGTTGAGCATGAGGATTGTGTTCTCTGTCTGGGTGAGGAATACAGCACCTCCAGTTGTCCAGCGTTGCTTTCTTACACCTAAGGCCAGGCATGATAGGGCTTCAAGATTAAAAGCAGCATTATGGGAGAACTCCCTTACTGTAGTAGACAAGCCCACAGGAAAATCTTCTAGCGGGCCCACATTCCCTCAATAGCGTAAATCCCCAGCTCAATCTGAACCCTTGGAACTGAGTGTGTGCCACCCCCAAGGACCTCTTCAGAGGTGTGCACTAAAAAGGTGAAGAAAAATCCAAGGCATACCACTTCTAAGCTGCCCCAAAGGTCAAAATCACCTCAGCAGCAATCGTCTAAATCCCAGAGCTCGAAGACGTACCATCCATCTCCATCACTTGTTCCTCCTCGGCGCCGATTCCCATCTCCCGATGTGCAAGTCTGGATCAATGTCAACAGTCATCTCCAGTGCGTCAAGACAAGAGTTCCTGAGGAAACCATCCCCAACATTAGGATTAGCCGATTCTCCCTCATTAGACAATTATGTGGTGAAATTTCCTGCCCCAATGTCGTTGGCTTCAGAGCATCGTAGCACTGGCAGTTTCCCACACCAGGTGTAGCTCAGTGCTAAAATGGTTCTAAGTCCTTGACCTTAAGGATGTGTATTTTCATATACATACATCAGAATTGTAAGAAATTCCTCAGGTTTGTCTGTGGCCATTCTTCCTATGAATACAATGTTTTGTTTTATTTAATTTATTTATATTTATAAATTAAATTTATGAATTGCCTAATCCCTGAGTCCACAGGGCTCTGGACGATGTCCAACAGCAAATAAAATACAATATAACAATCATTAAGTTACAATAATAAGCCATTCAGTACAATCTTTTTTTATTCTTTTACCCTTCAGCAGGGCCACATTGCTCAGAATGTTCATGAAATGCGGAGCTGAGGTGGTAGCCTACCTAACCCTTACTAGACCAACTGGCTTTTTGTAGTCCCTACTCATGAGTCACTGCAAATTCCTCTTTCTCTAGCTATTACCACACTAGAGGAGTTGGGTTTCATGATCAATTCGGAGAAATCCCATTTGCTATCCACACTGACTTTATTGGGGCTCATTTAGACTCTACCAACACCAGGGCTTTTCTCTCTGTCCAAAGGGCTCAAGCGATTCAGACCCTTATAATGTTGTTTTGGAGGCTCAGGCTACAGAAAGTGGTGTGGATTCAGAAACTACTTGGCCTAGTGGCCTCCACCACTACAGTGATTCAAAACATGAGGTAGCTTTTCAGGATTGGTTCATTCATAACTTTGTAATGAACATAGACCCCCAATGGCTTAAGTTGTCCATCCCCAGATCAGTACTTAGATCTGTCCAATGGTGGTGAGATGACAAAAACTTACTTCAGAGAATTCCACTTTGAATCTTTTCACATGACATTCGGGTATTCAGTGATGCATCCCTAGGGGGTGTGGGGGGATACTGTGAAGGTTTTTCAGTAATTTTGTTCAGTTGCACAGTTGAGTCCGACTCTTCGTGACCCCATGGACCACATGATGCCAGGCTCTCCTGTCTTCCGCCGTCCTCTGGAGCCTGCTCAACTTCATGTCAGTTGCATCAATAACACTGTCTAACCATCTCAACCTTTGTCGTCCCCTTCTTCTTTTACCTTCAGTCATTCCCAGTATCAGGTTCTTCTCCAGTGAGTGCTCCCTTCTCATTTAGTGGCCAAAGTATTTGAGCTTCAGCTTCAGTATCTGGCCTTCCATTCTCATAGCTCCCTTTTGGCCAAAGAGAGTTTGGTTCCCAACTCTGTGGGCCCTAGTGGGGGGGTTCACTCATAACATTCCCACCAGACAAGGATCTCCTTCGGATAGGAACACAGTGGCACCACAAGATAAGGTCGTTACACCTGACAGCTTGGCAGATAATTCAATTAATGTATGGTCTGAAATAGTGTCTGAAGTCCTAGTATCTGCCAGAAAGCCATCTACTAGGAAGTCTTACTCCTCTAAGTGGCAGCATTTTTCTCTGTGGGCGAGAGAAAAGGGGTTCAGGCCAGAACAATCCTCACTGTTACATATTTTTGATGTCCACATCCTCAATTAAGGTCCACATGGCTGCAATTTCAGCTTTTAATCTAGGATGTGAGTTCCAAACGGTGTTCTCGCATCCTCATTCTAAGAAGTTTTTAAGAGATTTAAATAATTTGTTTCCTCCTGTTAATTCTCCTGTTCCTCAACGGAGCTTATCTCTGCTACTTTCACAGTTAATCTACAAACCTTTCGAACTGCTGGCCATGTATGAATTGTTTGTCTGCCAAGACAGTGTTCCTAGTACCAGTTACCTCAGCCATGAGAGTGGAGGAGCTGAGAGCACTCAGGTTCAGTCCTTCCTTCACCAAGTTCCACCACAACAAGACACTACTCTGGACTAGCCTTGAGTTCTTACCGAAGGTTGTGTCAAAATTTCACATATCACAGGATGTCGTCTTACCAGTGTTCTTCACAGATCCCCAGACTGACACAGAAAGGGCACTTCACACCCTGGATATTAGGACAGCGTTACTATTTTATTCAGACTGCACAGGTAGTTTTAGAAAATACAAGAATCTGTTTGTATGCCTTAAGGGACAAAACAAGTAGCCCTCCCAAACCCTGTCTAGGTGGGTGGTGTCCGCCATCCGAATGGCATATGACTGTGTCAAAGTTGAGTTTCTGTTACCACTTAAGGCTCATTCCACCAGAGCTCAAGCCTCCTTGGCTGCCTTCAGTTCCAGAGTTGGCATCTGAGACATCTACAGAGTGGCAATATGGTCTTCCTCATCCAACTTCCATTAGGCACTATTCAGTGGACGTAGATTCTAGAAAGGAGGCAAAACAGTGTTACGATCACTCTTTTGCTGACAGCCCACACCCACCTCCTGTGGTGAGTTTGCTATTCTCCCATGTGGGACTGCACTGAAGACACATTGATGAAAACAGAGTTGCACTTACCTGTAACTGTTGTTCATCTAGTGTCTTCAGTGTAGGCACACATCCCTCCCTCCTCCTCCCCCGCTGTGGGCTTTGGTGTTTTCACAGGAGTCCATGTACCAGAGCTCCATGGCAGCAAAGAGAGGAAGGACTGAAGGAGAAGCACTTTCCCCGCCTCTGTCACTTGACCACATGGACGGGGAAGTTTCCCCTCTTGGCTCTGTCAGAGGGGAAGGGGGAGCACTCCTAGAAGAAGCTGGAAGCTTGCAAATCTATTCTCTGCAGCCTGCCTGCACACGCACAATCCCATGTGTGCCTGCACTGAAGACACTAGGTGAACACTAGGTCAGTGCAACTCTGTTTTCTTTGAAATTTAGGAAATATCTTGAAATGGATGAGATGACTTGCTCAAAATATTTATGTTCTGCCTTTCTATGTAAATATACCTGGGGCTTCTTGGAGTTTAAAACAATAAAGCAACCATTAAAACTTTTTAAAAAACAGGAAAAATCAACGATAAAATGCATCAGATTAAAACAGGATAATGTTGTCAAAAGACAGCATTTTGTAGCCAGATAAGAGAATGCTGCTGAGCTAGAATGTATGTCCAGTTAGTTTTACGACCAAGCAGCACCTTGAGGCTTCTAAACATGGACAAAACATCCAGAATTTTTTGTTTTAAAACTAATATGCACCGGAAAGACACAACATTTCTATTGATGTGTCTGCAAAATAAAATAAACCAACTATTAATAATAAATGCTCTGGGGGCCAAATTTTCTCTTAGCAACCCCTGTGCGATCATTGTTCTTCAGTAGAACTGCACAGTTATAGCTGAACCACAGTTATAGCTGAACTATATCTGTTTTCTGGATCAGTCTCCATTATATGTTCTTCTCCCAACTTCAGCTAGCCGCGTGCCACCATTAGCTCTCCACAGCACCCACTAAAACATCGGATTGCTGAGTGGCTAATTTTCTCATGGCCATTAGGCTACGTTTTCATGAGCTAGAACCCTGAAGTTTATACACATGTAATCCAAGACACCTGGTGGTTAAAAAAGAATCAGAGAATGTGACACTGGTATTTTGCCATTATGCCATTTAAAGGCCAAGAAGGGGGCCTGAAGTATACTCCCGAAGTAGTTAAGGTTCTCTCACACTAGCTAAGAAGATGAAATTTGATACATGTGTAGTCCAAAGGATCCCAGATGTTAAATGTGAAATGTGAAAGGGAGTCGTATCTATATCTGTTCATCAAAATGGGGACATGCATTTCCCCTCCCAGTAGAGGGCAGCACTTTCAGAGTTTCCAAATACAATCCCCCCATGGCACAGTATCCTGGACCTGGCAGCTCTATTGTCTCTATGTACATTTGAATCAGAAAGATTTGGAATGGGGCTAGGAATGTATATTGTTGCAGAATGCAAATTCCATTTACTATTAACTTTATGCCTGTTGCCATGTTACCCCAGCTGCATGGCAGCTGCCAGGAAAGATTTCTCTGAGGCTGTGGCTCCACTTCCAGGTGCCAGCACAATGCATGGAAATGTATAGAGGGCAAAGAGGCCACATAACTTCTATGCACTATGTTCCTAGTGTGTTGCTTTTGCCACAGGGAGGCCTTTTACTAGCAATTTCTGCACATCTGGGGTTCCATAGTGTACCAGCTGTCACTTTTCTCTTGCTTGAAGCTCAGCAAACGAAGAATAGACTGTAGCATCTCTTTCTATCTAATTCTTGATGGATCTGTGAGCCTAATAAGAAGAGATTGGAAAATCCAGAAATACGATTTGTGCAGAAGGGCAACTGTTGGCCATGGGGCTGAAGGTGCCATTTTTCATA